CCAAGTGAACCACGCGAAGCAGCTCAAGCCAGGCCTGAAGAAGGACTGCCGCGGTTCCACCGCGCCCGCGGCAGAACCGCGGTAAAAGACTGTCGCGGACAAGTTGAGATTCAGAGAAGGTGTGCGACCGCGGTTTGACCGCGACCGCGGCAGAACCGCGGCAGAGGCGGAAAAGTTCAGGGACTTAAGTGCAAAATACGGGATTTTTAGCCCAAAACCCTATTTTAAACACTAGACTTCGCCCAAAGGAGGCAGGAATTGATTTAGAGATTTTTTTGGAAGGAAAACAATTGTGAGAGATCACCCAAAACATCATATCTTCTTCTTCTTTAATTTTTCTTGCAATTTTCATGATGAACATTATTCTAGTTTATTTACCCATAGTTATGAGTAGTTAAATCTTTTGTTTAAGGTTTTGATGGAACCTATTGAGGGATGAACTTCTTGTTTATGTGAATACAAATTGCTAGTTTCAATCTCTATTTGTTCAACTATGTGTTTGTTGTAGTTAATTGACAGGATCCTCAATTAGATGTGCCTATGTAGTGTGCATAACTCGGGAGAGAGTGCATATTTAGGTTATTGTTGAACAACACCACTCCCAAAGTATAAGAGGGATCTATAACTGCGGGTTTAAAGGCGGGATTAGGGATAACGAAGCCTTGGGTGTAATCTTAAGTGAACTGTGATAAATAAAGCTAGCTAGTGTATCTCGGGAGAGTGCGTTTAGTATATTACTGTGATTACTCGGGAGAGATTTACGGTAAGAAGAGTGTTCATGATTGATAGAATGTGTTGGTGAATTTGTATGAAACATAAACAGAAGGGATTCCATCAATAGGGGAAATCACTGCCTTAGAACTTTCTCATTATTGTTTACAACTTAAGCATCTTTAGTTTACATCTGTTTATTGACTTTCAATCTTAGTTATTAAATAAACCATCAATTGTCATTCACAAAGTTTGAGAAGGTTGACTAATAAGAATTTAGTACTCTAAAGGCTGCAATTGATACGTTAATTCCTTGTGGGATTCGACTCTGGGCATAATACCCCGGATTATATTTGCAACGCCCGCTTAGTCTTTTAATAGACACAGTTGAGCGTGATCAGTCGGATATAATCCGAGTAAAATTATTACTGCCTTATCACATTCAAAGCAATAAAATATTAATCATACACGTGTTTTGATAAATCAAGTCTATGATTAGTTAAGAATTTAGATATATATATATATATATATATATATATATATATAACTGTTACAAAAATAATAGCAGATAATCTTTTCCGTATATATGTGTATTATATATAGTATACATATTTTACATACTTTTTAGGAGAAACATACATATTTTTTTACCAAGTTATGGCACATGAGCATCTAAT